GTTATATCCCATATTATAATATATATACTGTATGTGTTTCAATTTGTGTTATATCCCATATTATAATGTATATACTGCATGTGTTTCATTCTGTTATATCCCATGTTATATAATATATATACTGTATGTGTTTCATTCTGTGTTATATCCCCATATTATAATATATATACTGTATGTGTTTCATTCTGTGTTATATCCCATATTATAATATATATACTGTATGTGTTTCATTCTGTGTTATATCCCATATTATAATATATATACTGTATGTGTTTCATTCTGTGTTATATCCCATATTATAATATACATACTGTATGTGTTTCATTCTGTGTAATATCCAATATTATAAATTATAATATTGGATATTACACAGAATGAAACACATACAGTATATATATTATAATATGGGGATATAACACAGAATGAAACACATACAGTATATATATTATAATTTATAATATATATACTGTATGTGTTTCATTCTGTGTAATATCCAATATTATAATATATATATATATATATACATATATATATATATATACTGTATGTGTTTCATTCTGTGTTGTATCCCCATATTATAATATATATACTGTATGTGTTTCATTCTGTGTTATATCCCATATTATAATATATATACTGTATGTGTTTCATCAAAGCACTGTCAAAGATAACATGAAATAATACATCAGTAATTGGTTAAGTGTTAAGTGTTTTATTCAAAGCACGTCCTACTGGGTGTGCCATCTTATGTCATTACTGTCGTCATGAAGTTCTCCCCCGGATTCCAGCGCCATCTTGAAAATGAGAGTGTTTGGTCGATGGGTGGGGTACTCCTGAGTGGCATCTAGTGGTCAGTTTAGTAATTTATTGAATAATACTGAGTATAACTAAATGGAATAAATAGGCATTTTACTAGCTAAAAAATATGTCAATATCTCATTTCCACAACACACCCTGTTCCAAATTATTATGCAAATGATATTTTTCTAATTTACCTAAATAATTGATGTAAATAACAGTCAGCATAATTCTCATGTTATCAACTATTACGAGTACAATTCAAATTTTATTGAACAAACCTCCTAATGTTAACAGTATTTTTTTAAAAATTAAAAACTTACAATGCACTCTTCCAAATTATAACGCACAGTAAGTTTCAAAACACTTTATAGGTTGCAAAGAACTGGAAATTGTCATTTGTTGTGTTGCAGCATATTTACTGAAATCAAATGCTATTTTTTAATCAAACTTATAACAACATTTTAACTTTTTAAACATTTTAACAGGTCACGTTACATTTTAACATAGGTCCCCTTATTTGATAGCAGCTTCACAAGTCTTGCATCCATTGACCTTGTGAGTTTTTGGACAGTTTCTGTTTGAATTTGTTTGCAAGATGTCAGAATAGCCTCCTAGAGCTGCTGTTTGGATGTAAATTGCCTCCCACCCACATATATCTTTTGCTTGAGGATACTTCAAAGGTTCTCAATAGGATTGAGGTCAGGGGAGGATGGAGGTCACACCATGACTTTCTCTCCTTTTATCCCCTTAGCAGCCATTGACGCAGAGGTATTCTTTGCAGCATGAGATGGTGCATTGTCATGCATGAAGATGATTTTATTACGGAAAGCATAGTTCTTCCTTCTGTACCAGGGAAGAAAGTGGTCAGTCAGAAACTCCACATACTTTGCAGAGGTCATCTTTACACCATCAGGGACCCTAAAGGGGCCGACCAGCTCTCTTCCCATAATTCTGGCCCAAAACATGACTCCACCAACCATCCACTACTCCATCCATCTGGACCATCCAGGGTTGCATGACACTCATCAGTAAACAGGAATGTTTGAAAATTAGTCTTCATGTATTTTTCTGCCCAATGCAGCCATTTCTGTTTGTGAGCATTGGTTAGTGGTGGCCAAATAGAAGGTTTATACACAGTTGCAAGACTCTGGAGGGCTCTACACCTTGATGTCCGTGGGACTCCAGAGGTACCATCAGCTTCAAATATAGGTTTACTGCTATGTAATGGTATTTTAGCAGCTGCTTTCTTGATCCGATGCATGGATCTGGCAGACATCTTCCTCAATGTGCCTTTATCTGCACAAACCCGGCAGTTCTCTGAATCAGCCACAAATCTCTTAATAATGCGATGATCATGCTTAAAGTGGCACTGTCATGCCGAATTTACCTTTCCCTATTGATTCCTCTTCTCTCCCTCTCTCATGATCTGTTCTTCATTTCTTCCTGTCTGCTCTAGTTTTCTTTAAAAATTAAGACAAAGTAGGGGCTATTTCTCTTCTCGAGGTTTCCTACGCCATGACCAGCGTAGGAACAAAGTTTGCTTCGTTTCCGGTGGTCAGAGCAATTTTCCCATAATCCTTAGCTTTCCTCCCTGTTCCCACGATGCTTCCTGTCAGTATTGCCGAACGTTCTGTCACTTAGACAGAACGCCGGCAAAACTGCTGAATTGCGTCCTAACAGAATGAGAACAGTTTCTCCATTCGTGTTTAGAACGCAATTCAGGACTTTGTTCGGATCGCAATTTCATTCGAATGAAGGAAAATCAGATCCTATTCGTGCTGTGGCTGCATCTTGCAGCCGCTTAGTAGATAACTCCCTAATTCCCAAGCTATCTACCAAAAGGCTGAAAGACCTAAATAAAGATTACTTAGTATTAGTAATACTGCGAGTAGGGGCATGTCTAGTAAACAATGAGCAGCCTAAACCTATTGCCCCCAATGGCCCCCACCCCTAAGCGGCGGGTGATGGCCCTAAATAACAATAAGGAGGGGGGGACCTATTGTCCTCCCCCACCCCTGAGTGGCGGGTGGGGGCCATGAATAAGAATGTGGGTGGGGGGACCTACTGTTCTCTCCCCAGCCCCCACCCGAGTGGTGGGTGGGGGCCCTAAATAACAATTTGGGCAGTGGGTGGGGGCCCTAAATGACAATCCCCCTCCCTTCAAAGGTGACTAGGGGTCCCCAAGCCCCTAGTCACCCAACCCGCCCACCCAAATAAAAACTACCCCCTACCTACCCCCCTCACCCTAAAAATAATGAGGGGGGAATAAAATAACTAACCTGTAAAGAAAAAGAAAACTTACCATTCAATGTCATCTTTCTTCTAAAATCTTAATTTTTCAGCCTCAAAAAAGGCCAAATAAAAAAACCATCATACCCATCGAACTTAAAATAAAATAAAAAATCCGAGCGCAAAAAAAAACCAAGGAAAAAAAACAGACGCAAAAAAAATCCATCTTCACCCATGGAGGGCTCCACGCAGACTGAGCTCTGCAGGGCAGGGGGAAGGCTTATAAAGCCAATCTCTGCTAAATATTGGAGTAAAATTATGTTTTTTCTTTTTTTTGGCATATACATATATAACAAGGTTTTTGTAATGTGTATTTTGTAAAGCTGGTATGTGCTATTCCTGCACAGAACCCCATATTGTGTTCAGCTACATCTGCTGAGTATAAAGATACCCCCATTGTACGCATTTGGTACTTTTCTGGAAAGCTACAGTGCCATATCAGAGACAATGCTATTTCAGTTTCTATAGTTAGAATTTTCGTTGATGGATTTGACGGGTCTATGTGTCATTTTAGGGTATTCTAGCAGTGTGACTGTTCAAATAACCCCATTTGATAAATCAGACACCCCAGGGTATCCTATTTGGTGTATATTGTGCCTTAACTTGTCACCATTTTTTCACCAATTTATGTCAATGTTTGTGGTGAAGGGGGGGGAGGGGAAATGGCATTTTTACATATATGTTGCAATTTTGATGAGTATTTCTTACACTTAATATGTACCACTGTCATAAAAATCCCCAAATTATACTCAGTTACACCTTCTGAGTAAAACAATATGCCCAATGTATGACCTAGACACTATCTTGTGAAGTAACAGTGCTGTAATAGAGACGTGACAAGTTCAGGTTTTTAAGTGTGAATTTTCATGGAAGGTTTTGATGTGTCCATGTCCCACTTTGGAGCAGTTGAGCAGGCTACATGTTCCAACTACACCATAAAGGCATACCATTTCTTAAAGAAGACATCCCAGGATATTTCAAAAGGCATATTTTGAACCTTAGTAGGGGATAATTTTTCCACTAGCTTGTACCAAGTGACACACAAAGTGAGTTTGCACCAGTGGTGCATCCTGGTTTTGTGCTGCCCTAGGCTGGACAAAACTCAGGCGCCACCCCCCCCGCCCCCCCCGCGCCAACCTCCCTCCCCTCAACCCGCCTTCTAAACACACAAACACACACATACATTCACTGACAGATACGCATACACTCGCTAACAGAAACACACACACACTAACAGACACACTCACACTCACTAACAGACACACACTCACAGGCAAACACACTCACACAGTCAGACACACACACACTCACTGACACACAGTCAGACACACACATACACACTAACAGACACACACATACACACAGACACACACAGCAGACACACACACACACTAACAAAACACACACATTAACAGACACACACTCACTGACACACACACTCACACGCAAACACACACTCACTGACACACAGTACACATACACACTAACAGACACACACACTCACAGGCAAACACACACTCACTGACACACAGTCAGACACACAGTCAGACACACACATACACACTAACAGACACAGTCAGACACACACTAACAGACACACACAGTCAGACACACACTACAGTCAGACACACACACACTAACAAAACACACACACATTAACAGACACACACTCACTCACTCACATTAACACTTTTTTAATTTTATTTAGTGCTGGGGGGGGGGTTCATTACCTCCCTGGTGGTCCAGTGGTTGCCGGCTGGGCTGGGCAGGCGAGGGAGCTCTTCCCCTGAGCGGTCTGCTCAGCTCCCTAGCGCGCCGCAAAGTGAGGCTGGGAGCCGGAAAATGACGTCATCTTCCGGCTCCCAGCCTCACTTTGCGGCGCGCGAGGGAGCTGAGCGGACCGCCTGCCCAGCGCCGCCCGCCAGCCCAGCCGGTCAGTTAGTCGCAAGGCTAACAAGGCATTTGGGGGGTGGCGTTTTTTGCCGCCCCCTGAAAAATGCCGCCCAAGGCAAATGCCTTGTTTGCCTCGCGGCTAAAACGCCCCTGGTTTGCACAGTATATTTTGCAAGGCTTAGGCGTGCTACGACTGTATAATACTTCATATGTTGCTCAGCTAAGTCGGCTGAGTACAGCAATACACCTGTATGTACCTTTTCCAGGTATATGTGGACATCGGAGGGGCACATTTGGGACACAGCCATTCCATTTTTTTTCTAACTTTGAAGTTTTACGCTGTGTCCATGTTCCATTTTGGAGTCGTTTAGATGGTTGGTTATTGAAACTTCCCCACAAACACATACTATTTATTAAAGAATACACCCTGGGGTATTTCAAAAGGCGTATTTTGAACCTTAGCGTGGGATCATTTTTTCTCTAGTTTGTTCCAGGTGTAGTGGTA